GACTGAGCGTTGAGGTTCGTGGTTTGATTATGTAACAGTGGATTATGTGCCATTCGGCAGTTATCCACACCGCAGACTCGTTTAGAATTGTAGCGTCTCACCATGTAGGCTTTAAAACAACGAATACAAAGCCTTCTGTCCTTAATCAGTTGCCAACGTTCATGCGAGTGCAAACAACCATTCGTCAAATGTAACAATATCGTTGCGAGATGTAGCCATCCGCCGACGACCCCAGTCTAACTTCATATCTGGTAGTTTACAAAGAAGCTCATTAATGAGCATGGGATCATTCAGGTATTCGTTAAGACCCAATGCCTGCATCGTCTCTCTGTAATTCTGAACGCCTAACGCTAAATCAATTAAGGTATTCAACCTATCTGTTCTTACTGCTGGCATCTGTCTCAATTTGCGCTGCAGTGTGTTGTGAATGACATCAGGTCGGCCGAACAGCATGTGTAAAGTGTCAATGGCCAGATGGATCGTAGACGGCATCATTAGTTTCCCTCTTGCGGCTTCTAGGGCAGCTCCTCGTAATGATTTTTGCCATCGAATCAGGTTTTCTTGTTCCGAAAATCCACAACGTTCAGTTGACTGCTCATAGTTTGTAATGAACAATGGCCACTCCTATGGTTTCCCAGAGAATGACGGCAGATCCTTGCTTATCACTTGCCTTGTCGCTATATGTGATGGACTCAAGCTCAAATCTAAGCTTGGCTGAAACTGAGTATGCGCCTCTCCCCAGATACGGTTGTCGATGGGCGTAGGACCTCCATGAGGTAGCCCGGAACTGTCGTATACGGGGTAGAATGGGTTGTGTGCGGCAGCACTGCACCCACGTGCATACAGAGTACTTAAGGATGGAATGCTAGGTTACGACGTTGCCGCCAAAGTACGTACCAGCGGTGCTCATCGATGCATGACGGCTCTGACCGAACACGCAGGCAGATGGATGAGCGAACGTTGAATTCATTTGAGGTCCTCCAAGAAGAGACGACCGTCTGTCACAAGGCGAGAATTGATTTGGCGCCATAGGAACGCCAGCATATCCAAGCTGCTGGTTTGGCGCCATAGCCATGCTTCTAAGCTCAACCGGCATTGACGATTGAGGCGATGAAAATTGAACAGATGTGTTGGCCACGGACACAGCAACGGCAGTGGTACAAAACAGCGGTGAATGATTTATTGGCGTTGTATCCATGGGCGGCATGCCTAATGTTGTGATTTGTGCACCAGCTTGCACACTTCGCGGAGATGAGTGTTGCTCAGAAGGTCCACTGCACGAAAGCTGTACACCTTTTTCTATAACGGCGCTTCCGTTGATCTGCATAGCGGAATAGTATGCGAAACTTACCGTTCAACTTGTTTAGGAATACGATTTCCTTACAATAAATTTTATCAGAAACAATTATTTTAGAATGTTGGCAGGTTATGAGTTTAACACTAATTATGAGCGTTTGTTTGAATATATTCTTATATTTACTTATAAATTCAACTCAAATAAATATGTTAATCAATCTTTTATAAGGAAAAACTAATTTGAAAATACTTTAATACCTTAATTTAATATGTGTATGTTAACGCTAAAATAATTGTGCTTCTCGTGGATGTATGCACGTCTAACTCCGCCAACGAACCAAATAAAAAAGAAAGCTTATTAAAAAACTTAGCAACGGACAGGCTCGAATGGGAAATAACGGGACATACATCCACAAGGTCGCATTTTAATGTACATTTTAATATGCTTGGTGTGTTTCTTTGAAAAAGGAGACAGGCGTGGGGTGTTTTAGAAGACAAGTTGCCAGATGACACAAAGTTCTAATGTTGGCGTCGATTACGTGGATTAGGAAATAATCGTCATCTTGGATGGTGCGTCACACTTTGGCAGCAACTTAGCCGAGAAGTTCTCGATGAATAATGTCACTTTTATTTGATTGTTATCTTCACCGAATCAAGCGGTAGTAGTGTGCTTGCTCTATCAATGGCTACTCTGCTCTTGTCATCGTGTTTTATTGCAGAGTATATGGTACTGTTAATTGGTGCTTAATTTCGTATTCGTGGATTAGCCGCTCGTAAACTGTGTTGCGTTTGTCGAGAATCATGATCTTCGGGATCCTGTATTCAAGAAGTATGCGTTCTAAAACGGTTTACCAGAGGCCATTAGGCTTTGTAATTGCGTCTATAATGCCCGAGTGTCCGATAGTGGTGCTGTCTTGACTTTCTTTTAGTAGTTCTGAAGTAATGAGATTGCTTCACTTCCATTGGACACCCACTTTTTTGATTATTTGTCCAGCTCCACCTGTACCTAGATTTCTCTAGTTCCAGCCGCCATACAGTAACTGACCATAATAATATGGATTTGTTAGCTAATAAACTATATGCGGTCTTTTACCAATGCCACTTTTCTGGTGCATTGCTATACTGCTATTGCTTTCAACCGAGTTTCGGTTCCAGGTCAGCTTACTATCTGAAATTATTCCTAGGTATTTGACTTTGGTAGAAATGATGAAAAAGTAGACCTGATATCTTCTGATGAAGAGTAAAAATTCTGTCTTATAGGGATTTGCATCCGATTGGTTACTATAAAGGACATTTTAGAGTAGATCAGTTAAATTTTGGGGGCACTTTTCAGTCGCTGTACGGGCGTATGCTTTCACCTCGCGGCTTATGCTTCTAAGTTTGTGAAACAGCGTATTAATTGCGATACACCAAAGGAGTGGAGAGAGAACTTCCTCCTGTGGGGTGCATCTTTTGGTATAGTGTATGACGAAGATTATCCAGTTTCACTATATATTGTACAGTCTTCTGTTAAGTGGGTGTACACCCCTAAAAATTAATTGCAGAAGTCTTGGATAGGACCCCCTTTAGTCTATTTCGGCAATGGATTTGCCTCGACCATATTCCACCAGTGAGTACACTGTGAGGTTCCAGAGGAACAGAACTCCTCCCTGCGGAGTGCATCTGTTTACATATCTGGATAATTGAAATCTTTCCAGGTTTACGCTTATAACCTTGCTTAGTAGGAGTTGGTTGATGAAATCAAATGCGTTGTCGGCATCTGAACAGCACATCTGTTTTAGAAAGCCCCCTATATATTTAGGAAGGTCACGATAATGGTTTTAACATGAATAAATATTTATGGGTCTAAAGTCCTTAGGGCAATTATGAATGTTTTTCCTTACTTTAGCAATGTGGGCGACTGAAACCCGTCTCTATGCCAGTAGTATATGGTTAAACTTTAGGCATGCCACATATTTAGCTTTGAGCCATCTTGTGGATAGCTCCCAGTTTTTCTGTAGCTGTGGATAGGATGGTACCGTCTGGCCCAGAGGATTTGTATGGTTTTTATTACACTGATTATCATTTCGTCCGTAAAGGGAAGATCGATAACCCTTGGCAAACGAGCCGAGCTCATAGGTGTCTGCATGTCGCAAAGAAATGAGGTTTCCTTTCCCGTGGTAGTTTTCCTGTTTTAAAGAGACCCTACTGAGTGAGGTTGGTTTAAAATCTAAAAAAAACTGTAAAAATCCCTTCAGGAAGATATTTTTACTGGCACCCACGTTCTTGCCCGAGGACAGACCGATTTGTCCTCCCATTCCACTACCTCAAACTTCGCTTTAGTGTAGACTTTTACTAGTCTTGCGATAGCAGGCTTGTATAGCGCCACCGATTGTGTGCTTTCCCAAGTGGCATTGCCATGGAACCATCCAGCATCTTTACAGGCCGGAAGTTTTCCAATGCCCTCCAGCGCCATGCTTGGGATGACGTTCATCAAGACAGATTTCCCTGCCTCCAGTGATCCCTTGGGATTGCTCCGGATCCGTTTTCGCTTTTTATAACTCGAAGCCCTCCGGGAAAGTTGGGAAATAAGGCTTTCGCTCTCTTGGTCGTTTCCTTACTCTCACAGCTAAAGCCACTGCGTGCTGGACGTGGTATATTTGTCCGAATATTGTCCAATAACGAATGCTGTGTCTCAAGATGGGTGATTGTAACGCGAATAGTATACTCAGTAGTCCGATAATGTTAACTTTTCATAATAATGTTGAACGGTTTGTAAGCGCTGTTCAGGCGTAAGTCTTTCCATGATGAAATGCCAAACAATACATGTATATATAATTAGCGGTTTGAAACCGCTGGAACTATTTTCGGACGAGCCAATGCCAAACAATACTGAACTAAAACAACATGACAGCTGGGCACGACTCATGCGGATTTGTCAAAAAAAAGGCTATTGAAAGAAGTATTTCTACTTAGATCATCTGTTCATCTGTATATATCTACTAACAAATTGAACCTGCAGGTAGATTGGTGGAGGAGGTTCTTTCTCACATATCAGGGCAAACCTGGATTCTTTTGGAGCCTTGTTATATGCATCCATAGGCAACAATTAACATTAAACCCCTTAGCATTTTCCACTTTCTGTCACGGCTTGATTTTCTCTTTGTATTTTTCACTATTTTCTCTGTCCTACGTTGCTCCTCGCTAAAGTCAACGACATTTTGGGGAAATCGGTCTAAATGATTATACTGAAGTCAGCGATTGTACCTGTCTAAGCGGGTGGGGGAGAATGTGAAATGTATTCAAGTTGAGCACTAGGCTCGTTACAAAAAGTTGTGGACTTTATCCAATGCCATAGGAGGCACCTGACGCTGCGCAGACGCCAATCGCTTACTCAAGAAGCATGGATGGGAAGACACAAACAGATCAGATAACAAGATATCTGACCTGGACCATTAGAAGGTCAATTCCGTTGCATACAATGAACACTTTAGCCGTATCACTTCGCGGATTATTTGAGGATTGCATTCTCGCACATATGCATGAGTGCAAAATCATTCATTCATATATGCTAGAAAGCAAAAACCCAAATAATAGGAAGCAGTTAGCCAGCGCCCAAAGTTATGCAAGGATTTACGCTCCTCGCGTATGATGATGATTTCTTTAATAATTAGTATACCTAAAATGCCTTATCTAATTTAAATTTACTGCTTTTTCTATTTAAGAATAACGAATGATGCTCGTGAAGATGAAATGGAGGAAAACGTGGGTCAAGTAAACACAATGATCGGGAACCTTCGAAATATGGCGTTAGACATGGGTTCCGAATTAGAAAACCAAAACAGACAAATTGATCGAATAAATCGAAAGGTATGTTGCAAAACTTTTTTTGGTGTACTTAATAGCTATGGTAAGCGGAATGTAAATTTAACTAAATTATACATTATTGTAGATATAAGGAATAATATATGACATCACGATAATATATTATAGCAAATCACTTAGTACAAAACGCTTCTCACGATACGCTCCACTTATCGCCAAGAACTGTTGAATAGGTTTTATCTACAAGAAGCTCTGTTTCTCTAGGTAAACTTAACACATCATCGAAAATTGATGAAGGAGTAAACTTTGTCTTATCTGCGTCTCGCTAGTCCCCGACGCCAAGACCGAAGCAGGTCAGCTTACGACAGGCAGGACAACTGCGGTATATGTTACTAGCAATGTTCTTTGGCTTTTCCCAAGGTACTGCCAGTCAACGCTTTGAGGACTTTTTTCGACTTTTTAATTTTTTGGCAATTGCAGTCGTATGCGGAGTGAAAGAGTGCAGGCTGTCGTATGTATCCAGTAACCCCTCTCTCACATCGAGTTCGAGCCGGTACCATTTCGGTCAGTTGGTAAAGAGGGTGGCCGAGAATTTCGCAGGTTGTCAAGTGAAGAACAATCCATCAATCTACGAGCCAGACACCAATATCCAGCAACCAAATCGGTACAGGAGATTAGTGAAATGCCCTCTTGGGGGGTATGGGGCTTCGAGATATAGAAGTTAAGCAGAGCTGGGGAGAGGACACCATCCTACGGAACATCTTGTTTAATCTTTCGGAGTTTGGATGTTTGACCTAGAAACTCAGCCCATGTTCTGCCTCTTCACCCGGCTGTAATGAGAAGTCCCAATTTTCCGGTAGTAAAACTGAATGATTAACGGTGTCAAAGACTCTGGCCCAGTGGTACTAGTGGGCTCAGTATAAGAGGGAGCAGCAAGGCCTCAATTATCTTCGCTAATCAGGATCGGATAGATATTTCTTGTTGGCTGTTTTCCCCGGACTTAGTTAACCTAGCCATTTTCGACCTGTCTGATATTATTAGAATGGTCAAAGACAAATTGATGACTTTGGTGAGGTAGTCTGTTCCCGCCACCCTTATCTACGGAATTCCGGGACCGGCATGCCAAATGAAGTTGCGGCTAAAACCGTCGTTTTTATAGAGAAATTTGGGCAGATTTCTTCAACTTTTACTGCCAGTACTCAAGATACGATAATCCTAGTGACCCATGAAAACGAAGTTGAGAGGCCTGCAAATGATGTATATTATTGGTAAGTTGTTTCATACTAGCGTCAGCATATATCACGAGCACATATATGCAGCACTCGCAATTGTTCAGTCTGACGAGTTGTGGCTATTACTCACAATTTTTACTGGAATGTCAGAGATCGTGATGCGAATTAAATTCGCCCAAAACCTAACGGGTTTCGCCTCTGAAAAACGCACCTGTGTAAGGTCCTTATCCACTAGAGGAACAAGTAAAGGGAGGGATGTTTTAAATATTTCGAGCTTGATATCTCGTGACCGGATAGCTATGGTCTGACATTCTGGTAGTGTCTCTACGGTTGAGGTCGCCGTAGATGAGATGTTACTGCACGCCAAACATTCACCGTGAGTCCGGCTGTCGGTTATCTTCAATAAACCATCTTACAGAAGGGTTCTAAAATTCCGACACCTATCCATTCTGGAGCTTATAGCCCATATCTTACCTATCACTCTTTTGCATGTTTAGAGCAGTGGCAGCCCTCGCGTATCTTTGGATAATATTATCATTCCAGTTTAGCTTCTTGTCCAAGATGACTCCTAGAAAGTATAGTACAGTACAAAAACTACGCCTCGAAAACACCAAATTTTTTATGACAATAGAATGGTAAAACATAGTACCATTTAAATACAACGACCTGCTGCGCTAAACTTCTTTCATATTATTCGAATTGAGTAAATGTTGTAAGAGAAATTAGTGTGAAATATAGAAATTCAAATTGAAATTTAAAGTTATAAAAGATTGTCAGAAAAAAACTTGAACCAATTTAAAGTAAATTTTTTTAGTAAATACATAGTTAATTTTCACGTTTAGGTTAAATGTTCACGCGAGGAGTGTAAATCCTTGCATAACTTTGGGTGCTGGCTATTTGCTTCCAGTTATGTGAGTTCTTGCGTTGTGGCATATATGTGTGCACGTTTTTGCATTAATGCATATATGAAAGAATGCATTTCTCAAATGATCAGCGAAGTGATACAGCTAAAGTGTCTATTGTTTATTATAAATTATAAAAGTTAAATATTAGTAAAAGTAAGAAACATATAGGTATATTCATAAGACATGATTTGATAAATTAAAAAAATGTTTAATGAAATAAATGAAATAAAAACGGATAACCAAAAATTGAAATCGGAAATTTCTGATAATAGTTTATCATATTTGCATGGACATTTGTTATGATTATATTCGTTTTATTATTTTGAGCACAATTCTTCAGTTCTTTGTGGAATTGTGGTGAAAAGGGCTTTTGGTTCAGGGTCAGACTTCCAACCCAAACTGTCACAACATCATTAAGCCTTCGTAAATTCAATCACATCTTACTCCTCTTTCCAAAATCCCCAGACATAAGGCTGTTCTCATAATGCAGTTTTACCAGCCTTACCTTTTGATCTTTTGGCTTTACAAGGTGGGAACATGCTAAGACATATAAAAGACATATTTTTCCTCATACCGCGCATTATAAAAAATTAGTGACACGTTCAACGGGAAATTATTTTCGGCAATAAATGTATTTTATTGAGTAGATGTCATAAACGGATAATGTTTTCTTGCAAAATATTCTAGGAGTTAATGGCTATAAGCTTTTGGGTCACTTGCCTTGTTGGATACCAGAGAGCTGCAATGCGTATACCATTTTCGCTCACACTCGAATCAACACTCAGATTTTCTTTGATTCAAATTCTTTGGTACGAGTTCGAGTGTGGAGTGAAATGGCCAGTTGAATGCAAACTTACCATCCGTCCTTAACAGGCGACGTCAAGAGCAAGATACATACACAATTGTTGACGTGGCTGAAAGCGGCGAAATGTTACCAGCTGCCAGTATGTTTGCACACTTCTAAACAAATTCATAATTTTCGTCAACGAATTTCATAATTTATGTGTTCGAATATAAAGGCAAATCAAATTTACAAAACCTATTAGCAAACAAAAAATTAGTTACGCATCTAGCTTTCATTTCTTTTGAAAAAAACTTCGATTATTTCATATTACTTTAAAAATGTCTATACTGGCAACCTTGAATAGAATCGAGACATGAGCCCAGCCGGTTTTACTGAAAAATTCAAATCGCTGTTGGTTTCTGCGGACAACCGTCACTAACGGCATGGGCAAGTGGTGACTAATTTATTGTACATGGCGCTCTCATAAGTTGCAGCACAAGTTGGAAACATTCGAATGCCGTTGACTTGCAACTTGTTCACAAACGAGTATATCTTACTTGTTATACTTATTCTATACTTCTTTTTATTTCTTTTGAGCACTGATTTATACGCGAATATTTGCATGTTGACCTTACCTCAGTTTGTGTCGCGATAGTGATTTTTGCATCTTTTATTATGGAACAAGAAGAAAAATGTAAAAATTATAAGATGTAGAAACTCTTTTTTTTTACCTAATTTCGAAAATTAATTACTTTTACTATAGAACAATTTCATAATATTTTAGAATTTGAGTATTTATTTTTATGTTGGCATTATATGAAAATTTATGATATACATGTTTGTTATAAAGAGTAGAAAAGCCTTTTGTTTTCCTTTTCAAAGTCAAAGTATTAAAACAAAAAATATCTTACGCATAGTGTATCAAATTTCTGTAACTTTTTTATTCTCCTAATTTGGGATTGTGCTATATTGGTTTGCAGAAATATTACAAAATTTAGATTAAAACGATTTTTTTCCCCTATTATTATTTGTTGTAGTGTGCGCAATACATAAATTTTTGAATTTTTCCATAGTAACGTTTTTGCTTAGATGATGGACGCTACGGCTCCCACATATCTGCGTTTATGTTTGTGTATAGTCGATAGAGACTGTATTCGAATGTTATTTTTCTTTTTGATCACATCAAATCAGGCCCAGCCAAAGCGAGAAGTAAGATATGCGTATAATATACCCAATTTCATCAATTTGTTATGTGCTCAAACTCGAATGGAGCATGTTGAGTCTCGTGAATGATTGTTTCAAATGTTATCGAAACAGTTGGCGCACCCTGTACATAGGTTTTATAAAGTAAGTTCTTCAATAATGTTTCGTCTGCATTGAATCGAATCATTGTTGGTTTTATGTTAAAACTTCCATAAACATTTATTAAAAGGTTCAACAAGCTCCACATTCGATGAAAGTCTCTCCCTACTTTGTATAAGTAGCCGGACTCCATAAAGTTTTTCTAACACTTCAGAAAGCTCCCAACTCCTGAATGTTTTCTTTTTCTAGCTGCAATTTACTTTTTTCGACATTTTTTAAGAGACTTTCTCTATTTTTCAATATTGTAGAGACGGTGGATGTTTTTTAATTAATAATGTTAAACAATACCGACACTCGTCTACCATTTTTATGCTGATCAATAATCTTAGGGCCACGCATAAGGAATAGCTTAATAGTCGTGTTACGTTTATTTTCATTTGCCTATGGATTAGAACTTTGATATGAGGCAGCGTTGTATTTTTAAACGAACATTGAGTTAAGGAATTGCAGCTGATGTGGCCTTGACACACTTCTTTCTTTCAAGGTCAATAATTTTCTTGCCCTTAGTTGGAAATAAAATATATTCAATATGAAATGAAGAATTGTTTCATTTTAATTTTTTCAGGACATTTCGTGCTCGGTTTTCACCACGATATCATTTTATTTTCGACTCTTTGTGGTTTTCGCTATTTATTCTATGTAAAAATTCGCTTGTTTGTTATAAACGACTTAAAAACATAGTTATTAGGGTTTAATACAATAGGTTGTTTTAGTCTACCTTTAGTTTTCTTTCGACAATTACAATAATTTTTTTGTTAAAGTTTTAAATTAGTACTGGAAAAAGTTTCCTTTAAAATGAATAATATTTATGTGAATATAAACATACATATGTGTAAAATTCAACATTTATATTTATTTATTTATTTTTTACAGGGAGAATCAAACGAAGCGCGAATAGCAGTGGCAAATCAGCGTGCTCATCAATTGTTGAAATAATTACTTTCAGCTGTTTCATTTTGTTTTATTGGTTAACATAATAAGTATGTATAATAAATTTGCATTAACTAATTAGATCATAAGGGAAATAATCGGTTGGTACTCAGATATAATATAATTTTTGACACTCGCTATGTTATGTCTTATATATTAAATGCATGTATATTAGAGTTAGTTTTGCTTGTAATGGTTGAAAATATAAAATAAAAATGATGTTGCTCAAAGCAAACGAAAATGTTACGTAACATCGAGATCTGCGGGTGAGAAATCCAATTAAACTTACTACGCATATACATATATTTACAGGGGAAACTATTGATTCGATAAGTGCGCATTTTTACATCAACTAGTTCATCATCACTTTTTAGTAATAGTTGTTGCAAGTGGCTTCTTGTAATCTATAAAAGAGATTCTATAGAAATAAGCCCTAAAATTGATCCAAAGCATCCAGAGACCTGAACATTCTAAAACCATAAAAAATAGAAAACCTACACCTCCCGCAACGGGATGGCTGCAAGGGACAGCAAAATGGCGGGACTACGAGTGACGCAGTGAAAGACCGGAGATCGCACACATACGCGATCCGTACTTTTATAGATACTGGCAGATCCAAAGGGAGAAAGCTGTCTGAAAAGCAGTCATTGATGGAGTCGGCGTTTAGTTACGGCCATGCTTTTCAGAATGACACTGCTCTATTGGAAAAGGGGGTACTTATTTATATGCTGAAAATATCGTAGACATACAATTAATGGTAGAGAATCTTCCAGAGCTGTGGGACAATTTCAAACCACAACTTGTACGTGACGAAGATGTTTAAGCTACCGAAGACAAACATCTTTGTAAGGGGGATCGTGTAATAATTTCAACAGAGATTTCGAATACTGTCCGGAAGTAACATAACATAGAGCTGAAGACAAGTCTTTGGGAGGTATACGAAGATGCGTAAAGACCAGGATGTGTATTCATTTCATTCATTGTGGCTGGTAAGTGACAATGTCTCCTATCTACGGTTCTGCTTAGAGCTAAGCATCGTCATGTAGCATTCAAACCATCGCATGTGCCCGCCTTAAGTTGGTCCTAACTATAAGCTGCGACTTGATCGAGGTGGAGACGTCCCCAAACTGAACTGTAGCCACATATCTTTGTCTGTTTGTCAGGGGGAAGGTGGCTTCCAGTTGGCGGATTCTATTCTTGAGATTTTTGCCACTTCATAAAGAGTTATCTTTGCGGTGGGTATAGAAGAGGAATCGTACTTATTTCTGGAATCGGTATTGAGACACGTCTCATCTACAATTTTTACTGCTCTTCTCAGGAGAGTCCCCTTGTTACTGCCACTTCTCAAGGGAGTATTTTCGAAGTGAAGGTAATGCCACAACTGGCTAGGATGGCTTGTTCATTACACCTGGGCACCCAGTTCACTGTGGTTCTACCACCTGTTCATTACCATCTCGATATAAAAGTTATACCTATTTTTTCGTTGAATACGTATTAGCAGGTAGTTTGCTCACTTTTATGTAACAAAAGCAAGCAACATTTGATTTTAAGCTTTGATTAAGTCCAGAATCATATTCTGCGTGGTAGACATAATTTATGTACCCTGATTTACTTAAGAGTTTGTTATAAAAAGGGCAACCTCTGCAGTAGAGAAATTAGACTACCTACCTTGAAACCTTGCGATTAATGTGCGTTGTGCGATGGATAACGAGAGCTGATGAAAAGCAGAAAGAAGAAGCCGAAATGCGTGAGTATGGAGAGCTTGAGAAGCTGGCAGAAAAAGGTAATGCTAGAATAATCTACGAAAATATACGGCGACTTACAAAGGGTTTCAAAACCGGAGCAAACTCTTGTTGGACACGGAAAGGTGATCTATGGCGGAAGCCCGGAATATAATGTAATTATGGACGGAACACCATCCTGTTGAATGGCAGTAAAAATGAAACATCTGGATATGGTGAACCCGAAACCCCAATGGTATCCGACTATCTCGAAATATTCGCTTAAAAAACAACAAAGCGGCTGGAACTGATGGCCTCCACATTCATACACGACGGTGAAGTCCTGATAAAGTGCATGCATCGCTTCTTTACAAAATATTGGAGCCGCGGTCTACTCTGCTCAATCCACAAAAAGGACGATTCCAGAGTCTTCGCCCATTACCATGGAATAAGTCTACTCAATGTTGCATACAAGGGCCTATAAAAAGTATTGTGTGAAAGATAAATAGAGAAGGTACTATATTTTACAAGAGTGGGCAACTATTGGTGTATGCCAATGAATATATTAGGCCTTAAAAATTGCGCCGTTAGTTCTGCTTTCTTCAGACTTGGTAAAGAAGCGAATGAATGCGGCAGTGGACGAGTACAACACGTAATATCGTATGCTATCAATAATAATGTCAACCTTGAAATCCAACACAGAATCACTCTTGCCTACAGGTACTACTTTGGACTGAGTAGCTTCAATTCATTAGGGGATGTTAGCTCTCCATATTACGGGCGTTTTAGTAAATGTCACAACGACCTATTTGGTTAAGTCTTTGTCGCTTCCACTTTGGATGGCGGTGATGAGATCAACCAGCTGGGTAGCGAAACCTTCCCAATTAAGGAACAGAACATTCCAGGTGCTTGCCTCAAGCGCGAATAGGGGCATAGAAACCTGTCCCAATGTGTGACACAATTTATGTCTGCTACGCATAATTTGATTCCGGACTTAACTAATTCATAAAAAATAAGTTTTAGTTCACTTATTTCGTCATTAGACAACACAAACGGCAGGTTCCTACAAGAACAGAAGGTCAACGTTATGCTACTAGCTGAAACACATTTAACGCATAACGATTATAAACGCAGTAGCCAATTCCGCCTTGGCCTTTGATCATTCGCCACTTATAAGCAAGTTATTCGAACAACCAATGGACTTAAGTACAAGAAATACCGGGATATTCATATACCTTATTGGCTGCCTTTAAATTGACTGCGAAGAAAAAATCAGATTAATCTGAGAAAAAATTGCGTCGAATTCTTCTCGAAGAAAAAAATCTAGAGCCAGTTAGAAAGAGAAGTGGAAATTAATGAAATGTTTTGCGAATCATTCCTGGCGAAGAACTCCAATAATACGCCTTTAGCACTATTTGAGTTACCAAATATTATTTTCAAGTCGTTATTCAACTCTTTGCTGTCATCTTTGAGCTTGGATATTTTCCTACTGCGTAAGAAACAACCGTAGAATATCCTGACAACCAAATACGGAAAAGATACAAGCTGTTGTTATAGTAGAGAAATTGAAATATTTCGGACAGCACTTTTATTTAATAAAATTGTAGGTGCACTGATTTGTTTACAAAAATATAATACATATATAAAGTAAATGTTCACTTTTAGGGACAACCCTAAAATACATACAGACAGCGAAGAAAAATTTATGAATATTAGTGATTGACTATGATGTATGTGTAGTTTACGTTTTGTCTTTTTTATATTTTATTAAGTAATAAAAAAATCATAAAAAAATTTGAATTGTTCGCATTTTATTACTTTTTGTGTTTGCTGCATCAGAACGAAAATGGACGATGTTTCCATGATATGCGATTCCTTCCATTCTTCTCAACTTGGCCGCTAATTTCAGCTCAACATCTATGGACGAGAGTTTCTTTAGGGGCCTTACATCGTTAATAATGTTTATTTATTTATTTATTTATTACTTATTTATTAAGATATTACAAAAATATAATACTTAAGTATTTATTTGTCTACGTAATATTGCTCTGCTGTTCAAGTTTTTCTTTTTATTCTATAATTAATAGTGGTGAATATTTTCTAGTATCTTACTTTGTTATTTTCTTCAATTTGGCTTCAACATAGAGAAAAAAGTAAATGCAACTCAAACAAAAAAACAGAAACCTTATTATTTAAATACAAAACACAGAGAAGTTCCAAGACTTCATGTTTCTGTTCTTTTGGTTTAAAAAATAAGAAATTCAAAGAGCCCTTCAATGAAAAAAAAACAACCCTGGACGAACGCCAATTTTGAACGCCTTATTTGAAAGACCTATGGACAGGCAGATAAAAATTGGGGTGTAAAAAATGGAGGCCAATTTACGTATGATCTCTTCCATGGTGACGGAATAAATGCAACAAAGGGAGCTATCAGAAAGAAATTTCAGAAAAACGGATTGCATAGACGTGTCAAAGTAAAAAAGAATAATATTCTTGACAAACTGACACTGTGAAGTAAGGCTCCAATTTTTCAAAATGACGGTATCCGAATCATATGGTCAGACGAAACAGAAATAAACCGTCTGGGAAAAGATGGGCTCGTGAACATTTCAATAGCCGCATTGTTCAACCAACGCTGAAGTTTGAAGAGGATAATGTGCAGGAAACTAGAAAAGTGGGGCCAGAATGTGTCGGACGTCATCTTCCAGCAAGATAGTGACTTTTCGTGGTGTCAAAGCTTGGCTTCAAAATAATAGCTTTGAAGTAGTCGAATAGCGCCCTCAATCACCAGACCTCAACCCAATCGAGCATTTTTGGGTTGAGGTTAAATGTGCGTTTTCTATTTTACCAGATGAGTGTCAGAATCCTAAGGATTTATCTCAGAAGGCTCAAAATGATTGACAAGCGGAGATTTTTGCAGATAGGAGCCCATGCCCAAACGTATTGAGGCAGTAAATAAAGTAAAAAAAAAAACGGTTATGTCCATCGGGGATATTTCTTGAAAAAATATGTAACATTTAATTTATTACCTTAAGTTGTTTTGTATAAGAAATAAAATAAAAAAGTTAAAAACAAAAATCTTTTTCTGATACCAAAGTGTGATTAAAAAGTTGACATCCTGTATGTACATATATGTATGTATGTCACCGTTCTTCAAAGATTTAACATAATTAAATAAGTACCTTGATTTAACATAATTGGTAAATACCTCTTTTGCAGATCCTTGAGGTACTACTCTTACCAGCGGCGATTGAATTGATGGTGAAATGCTTTGACTTTCTCCTATCGATGAATTAACGAGACTGTTTCTGCATTTGGCTCGGGAATGGCTAA